GGGGGGGGGGGGGGGTTCCTTACTCAGACCTTTACTATCCCTAGACACTCCTATAAACGTACGTCATGCTCTAGCAGATCAAGGATACAGGAGACAATCAGGACAGCAAGGCCGAGATGGCAAATACTCATGTAGATACTGGTTTCAGTGAAGAAGAGGTTAGTGAAGCACTCGAAGTTCCCAATGAGTATGATGATGATGGTAGCCAAGGGGGTTACAGAACTGACGAAGAAGAGCATGGAAGGAGAGGTGGCGATCAGGGCGATGAAGAAGAAGAAGAAGCTGAGCATCCTGGTGAAGTGTCTATAGGAAAGAAGATCTGGACTTTCATCACCACATGATATCAACACACTGATCCAATCTGATCTATTGACATACGTTGCATTTAGGATGTGCACCGGATTCATTTGCCAAAGTGAGGATGATTTGCTATATCCCTTTTCTGCTTTTAGATATATATATATATATATATATATATATATATATATATATATATATATAAATAGTATGTGTCATGGCGGCAGCGTGTATTTTGTTGTAGTTAATCATAAATAAGATTGATTCAGGTGTGTATTGTTGTGCCTCTTAAGTGTTGTGTTGCTTCTTATTAGGGCATTGTTAGGGCTTTCGGCGTCAATCATTTAGCAGCATTGTTGATAGCCCCTCTGGTTTCGGCCCGTGCTTTGCCGAATCCGAACCTTTTTTTTTCTTTTTCCTATTATTTTCCTCTCTTTGAATTAGTTTGCCACATTTGAAATGTAAAAGCCTATTCATCCCTTTGAATGTGTTTCTCATCAAGTGTCTTTTTAATGTTCATTTTGAGCTTCACTCACTAGTCTTGGTGTATTGTGCACTCAAAATTGCTAACGTTCTTTGGGCCTAAATTTTTCGCTATAGAGTTAGTAGCATAATCAAGATTAGCATTTTCGGAATATTTAAGAGCCTGTTTGGTAAGTACTGTATTTTTGAAATTTTAAATGAAATTGTTTGGGGGGTGGTTGATAGTTGTTGAGGGGATGTCAAAGTCTTAAATTGATTTTTCTAAATTCAGGAAATATCAAAATTTCTCTATTTTTGATACTCAGATATTACTCCGTAGAATTTATTTATCTCTTAAGCTCTCCAAAAAGCGTCAATGCTCAGTTTAAAATAGTTCTAAATGGCTTTTTTTCATAAGAATTTAAAGAAATGACTGATCCCGAATTAATATTCTTTTTTAGATTATTTCAAATAGGGCTGTAAACGGATAACCGAAAATTCGATTACCGTCCGCATCCGTATCCGTTTATATAGAAAATATCCGCATCCGTTAAAAACGGTTATTATCCGTATCCGATTAAGGATATCCGATTGCTAAACGGATACGGATTTGGTAATCATACATCCGATCCGTTTATAATCCGCTCCGCATTGACATCCGTTTAAATAACCGTTTATCCGTGTATCCGATCCGTTATATATGGTCTTTCCTAATTTTTTATTTTTATATTTTGTTTCTCTATAGATATCTCAAAGTATAAGACATTTTTATATGCGAAATATATGTGTAAACANTTTATGATATGAAGTCATCGTATAATATCATAAACTATAAAAAATAAGAAAATAAATATCCCATAAAAAATTATAGTTGATTTAATAATATTTTAATTTAGTTTAATTGAAAATTCAAGTATTGTTTAGTTTAGTTTTCAAAATTGGAAACGGATACGGATATATCCGATATCCGACCGATATCCGACGGATGCGGATACGGTTATGATTTTTCAATATCCGTCAAGATCCGTATCCGAATTCGATATCCGACAAAAGTAAACGGATACGGATTTGGTAATAGCACATCCGATCCGATTAAAATCCGTTTACACCCCTAATTTCAAAGCAGATTTTACATAAAGTTTGCTTTTCAAATAAAGTAAAAAATATGTAATTCTTTCTTTTTTTAAAAAAAAAAGCTTCAGCCATCTACTTTTATTATTTTGTTGATAAATAGAATATGGTTAAGTATTTAGGAAAAATACTTAATCGAGCTATCATACTATCAGATTTTAAGATTGTCTACTAAGGAACATTTTTAGGTTGAATTCCAAAATTAAAAAACTGGAACCCGAATCCAAACATAGATACATATATACATATACAAACAGACACATGCAAGTACCCATATGACGTCCTGCGAGCTAATATTTCACATATAAAAAAATGGAGATTTATATATATTATACTGTTGTTTGTTATTTACACAAGTGAAATGTCTACTACCTGCTGAGTCACAAGAATCAACATGTTGTTGAGTGTCATTGGACAGCTAATTTATAGTAAAACTTGAAAATCAAAACTACGGAGCATAAATGACCATTCTACCCGCAGCTAAATTATGTCGGTTATCCTAAACTTCCTAACTAACCAATAGGCAAAACTCTTTGGCAACCAGTTGCTGAGGAAGAGAGACTGTTCTGTTCCACTGTACATTGTGTTGAAGATGTTCCTACTCCTTGAATATATGTATGTACACTTTGGATGAATCATATCAACTCTTTAGCAACCCGAATCGTTCCCCTCCACCGTTTGCCTTTGACGAATGTTAGACTGCAAAGCTTTCTTTTCTGCATGCCTCTTGAGATCCCTGCACAAACCCAAAAAAACGGGTTTTAATGACTTCAACATTCGTTTTGGGTAGTGTTCATTGATTTTCACTTTTGCTCATTCCTCTGTCCCAAATGAAGTTTATGGTTTGATTTCATGGAGTTTAAGAGGAGGGGTGATAAAGGGTAAACTTCATTTTGGGACATCTAGAATGGAAAGTGTAAAGTTAATATTGGGACGGAGGGAGTATGTTTTTGTGGTTTTCAGTTTGCATGATATGCGTTCTATAATAAACCAAAACTATTTACATGCTCAATTATCAAGTTTTTAGTTTTTCGAAAAAGAAGTGAGAACTAGAAAACAACTCAAAACAGGGGGAGCAAGAAGAACAAAATGGAGGATTGTACATGCATCGCGGAACCAAACAGTGAGAATCTTCGCACTTGCGTGAGTGCATCCGTAGAAGTGACCAGATTTTGCTACAGAATTCACAGCCTCCGGATACGCGAACGGTGCATTTATGTGCATGATGGAAAAGCATTCTGATTTTATTGCAGTCTGGGAGTGGACATGGGTTGCTCTTGCTAGCACGGCATTGGGATGCGTGCACTAATAAATCCAGTAATTGGACCTGCATCCCCAAATCAATTCATGTTAGGATCCGTTTGGATGGATTTTAATGAAGAGTGTAATTTATAGGTTTAACTAATCTAAATAGTGCAGGGATATGGAATCTCTACCGGTGATCCAGCTTGTTGAACTTGGGAATCACAACCACCACCAGATAAATAATGAATGCTTTTGAAGAGATGGTACAAAATCATCATTGAAGAATACTTTGCACGCCTGAGGGATTCAAACTGATAATTGTTTTGTTGACAGAAGCACAAGAAAGAGTGTCTATGCTCGAAAAAATCGTTATCTATAATGGCATCATTATCTTCAGTGTCAGCACGTATGACATCCCCAGACATCTAAGAAACAGAGCACAAAAAGAAAAGATTTACCACATGGTCGCTAATAAGGTTTTAAAAATGTGTTTAAACATGCGATAGAGATTCCTGTCTATAGGACACATGAATATTTCGAGGACTCACCTGTGTAAGAAAATGCTTCTCTCCAGTAGAAGAAGTGTGTTGCTTTTGCAGATCGATACCTTCTTTCATGTCCGCGCATCTATAGTAGTTTTACGAATTAATTTATGGTTAAGAATAACTCCCGAGGAAAATAACTTTGTATGAACTGTGCAATTTTAACGACCATGATAACTACAGATATTAAATAAATATGGAGTATACATTGTTCTACATATTATAACACAGACTACTTGACTAATCAACAACTTACCACTAGCTAAAAACTACCCACTTACCCACTATATACACTTAAAAAACAACAAACTCAGTAAAATACTCCATAACATGAACAGCAAATAATACGTAGTAATAAAGATGAAGTGATGATGACAATGATGACGTTGATGATGATGATGATAGTTACTGATAATTAAAACATAGTGATAAATATGAGATAATCTGAGAGGAAACTCGTTGATTTATGAATATAGTTACTCAGTTAGAATACGAAGGTCCCCTATTTTTACATAAACTAGGATTTAGGGAGGATCTAATTTTTGCTTCATACTTGGGCTAAGCCTGCTGGATAGGGTAGCTTACTAATTAGGGTTAAGAATCTTAAGACATGGAGTTGTATAAACATATCTGCTATTTGAAATTGTATTTCGCCCTAATAAACGCAACCAAGACATAGAACTGACTCAGGCACTCAGCCAACATAGCAGGGATTAAGTTGATGACATGATTTGCTTTTAAACATAAACTCATCCGTGCCCTTAAAATATGTTACTTGGGAAAAATGCATTGTATCAGAATAGCCTAATAACCAGAACAAAACAAAAAAAATTGCATTGTTAATAGCGGAAAGAGGAGAGAGACTACCTTTCACATATTTCAAATTTTTTGCATTGGTTACAGCACCATCTAATTCCTGAGATTACTTCCTGACATTTGGCACACTTGAATTGCAAGTTTACAATGATAAAGTCTTCCTTTACAGGAAGAATTGTCTGCCCCAGCTGTCAAGCAAAGAATTGAAAACACTTTACACTTAAGCCTAACAGATGCGACAAAGATTCTGGATAACAACATTAATTTGCTGGCAATGGCCATACAGAAAATTAAGAACAGCACTGAGCTAATAAAAGATTACTGACACTAACCATTGTTTGTTAGTGCACACACGTTCACACATGCATGTATTCTTCAAGAAAGAAGATAAATCCAAGTATCAATATGCAAACTTAGAAATGGAGATAAAAAAAAGTTACCTTCTGCATTACGGTTACATCTTTAGCTGCTTCGGCAGAAAGATCGCTATATCCCATCACTTTAAAAGCCCTCTTTGTAATAGTTTTCTTAACTTTACTTGAAGATCCTCCTTTACCATCTTTATATAAGTTCCTCATTGTATCCTCTGCAGCACTTGACCAATAGTCTCCATCAAAGTAAGGTAAACGAGCAGCAGAAATCTTGAAGTTCGAGTCCACATTTGGAACGAAAAAGTGATCATAGAAATTAGTGAAATTGATCACTATATCTTCTTTTGATGCTTTCCTCAGCATTGACCTGTACCTGTACACGTAAATCTAAGTCAATTAACAAAGCATTCCATTTCACTTGTAGATAAGTAAGCATTCAAGGTAATCTTAAAACAAAACAAGCAGAAAACAGAGCATACTGATTAATGGAGATGACAAATGATAAGTATATATACAAACAGATACCATTGGCGAAGCTTGTCTGGCTTCGGTGTTTTCTGAGATTCTGGGTGGCAATACAATATGTAATCTTCACCTTTCACAGGTGGGCAAGCCCATATATAGCAGGTCGTGAAACCCCGTTTCTTGCAGTATTCAAGGTACCCAATCTGAGGATACAGCAAGGATAAAAGCTTCCATCAGTTTCATAAGCAAACATATTTTAACATAGGAATAAAGAAAATGATTATTACATAACAGTAGCATCAAGGTGGGAGTTCATACCAGAATTTCATGATATACAAAGGTGCGAAGAGCTTCCCCTGTTGCAGTTTGTATCTCAGGTCTGAAGTATTTGACTGAGTCAAGATATGAAATGTAGACACAGCGTCTGTTTGGCTCACCACATTCTGATCCGTACTCTTGGACGTACATCGCAAAGAGACATACATCTACTCCTTCACTGTTCTGAAACAAGAGGATCACCTGTTTGGAGAATGTGTCAGATCTAATCCACTGAAAAAGTTCAAAGATCGTGATGAATAAGAATAAATAAGAAGTACTATCTCACCTTTGATCTGTATTGAAACTCTAAAGGATAATCTCGTGTGTGAAAGATATCCAAAAATTGCTGCTTGACTCTCAGTTGCTTATTGACAGACAATACTACCCTGACAGCAAGACCTGCCACAGCTGGCACCTGGCAAAGGTTAATATATCAGTAGATGTAAGGTGGAAGGAAAAATTTTAAGAGCACCGCAGGATATTAAATACAGAGTATAAGATTAACAGGACAATAAATATAAGATTGAAGTAAACTGATAAAATGAACTGCTATCATGTAAAATACTATGCATCTTCAAGCACGAGTCTAATTATCACTTTCAAATCCCTTACTTTGATGAACAATCACTAACCCGTGTATTATCTAACAAGCATAGGACACATTTGAATCAAACACACAAACACATGAGCAGTGGGAAGATTGTAGCATGTATATAGTTAACTAGCGGTGTAAATTACTATACCAACACTAATTATTATAAGTGTAACTCTTTTCCCCGTTTCAACTTTCCACATTTAGTAATACATAAAATATTAACACACTTCAAATTTGTCATAATTGTTTTGCAGCCTACCTCATCTAGGCTCTTTCCTAAAAGCTTTGCCCTCTCTTCTTTGTCTTGTTCAAGGAGTCTGGACAGCCTGCCCTCAATATGGTCACTCAATTTGGTCCTGGGTAGATCCCATGCTCCAATAGGAGAGGAAGGTGTACGCACACCACATTCCAACTCTTTTAATCGGCAATACGGACATATATACTTTGCTTTACCTTCCAAATCCTTTTTAGCATTGAAGAGAGCACATATCTGATGCTGCCAGCATTCACACTTGTCGCACTGCACCCACTGCAAATTGAACTGTTTAATAATCCAGATAATAAATTATCATGAAAAAGGAAACCACAAAGCTAAACTATACTCACTGGTTCCCCATTTTCATCATTATTCTTTTCTTTCTTAAGATTTGACTTGGGGATAGATAAGCCAAGGAATGAGATATTGCCACCACGAGATGCCTTAAAGCATGGAGTGCAAAAACTATATCGGCTTTTTGTTTCCTCCAGCAACCAGCAATAGAATACCAAATTGCGCTTGATACAAACACCACAACATGAGCAATACATGGGAACTGGAGTGAATACAAGCTTTTCAGTGCCACATAACTGGCAAGTATTCTCATTACTACAGCGAGTACCAGCATCACCTTCTGATCCCTGAAGAAAAGAGAAACGATTTACGTTCATTAGATCATTCAATCAAGCAGTGGTGTTGAATACAAACTACAAAATATAAAAACAAACAATTTTGAAGGGAAAGAACCACCATATCAGAATAACAAATAACTCACAAGCATTAAAACAAGTAAATTTACATTAAGATTTGTTCAGATATGTTTGCTCCCTTTTCAATGTGAAGTAAGGAGTTTGTCAATGAAATCCTTTATGACAAAATGGGGGGAAAAACATTTTCTACTCTGTGCTCACTGCAAATTGCAACATTGCCCGAAGAAGGGTGAAAAGTGAAATTTCACTTACTATACCACAGAAAATAAAGGAAAATGACAGGATACCATCAACCAAGTTCAATACTCTATACAAAATTTAAACCTTCACAATATGACAGCGGGATACAATGTGTATAATTAAAATAATCACATATCAAACCTGTCCAAAATGTAGTCTGAGACTACCAATGTGTTTTTTAATTTGATCAGCTGTGAAAAAGTCAACAAAAGACACACCCAGCCTCTCTAGATTGTTTGACTTCATTCTGAACAGATTTCTAACTGCAGATTCAGTTATATCACGCTTAACTTCTGATCTAGCCCTTTTAGACTCATCTTCTTGACCATTCACAGATTCATCATGATGAACATGCATTCTATCTGAACTCACTCCTGGAGAATAAGTATTGTCATTCAAAGCTCCACTAGCTTTATCATGATTGAAACCGATGACTTGAGATGCCAAAGAGGTGTGGCCAAAGTGTGACTTCAAAGCATCATCTATATCATGGTTTCCAGATGCACTGGTTTCACCTGGAACTCCTGTGATGTTTATAAGTTTCTTATTCATATCTGTTGAATCTTCCTTATTGTGAAAACTTTCTTGATTGTGAACCTCTTCAGATATGCCCAGCCTCTTTGGATTGTTTGACTTTGTTTGGAACAACTGTGTGGCTACAGATTCAGTCAAATCATGTTTGACTTCTGATCTAGCCCTTTCAGACTCATTTTCATGACCATTAGCAGATTCATCCTGAAGATCGTGAATTCTATCTGAGCTCAGTCCCGGAGAATAGTGAGTATTGTCATTCAAAACTCTACTATTAATATCAGAATCGAAATTGATGGGTTGAGATACCAAAGAGGTGTGGTCAAATTGTGATTTCAGAGCACCATCTGTAATATGGGTTCCAGTTGCACTAGTTCCACCTGGATCTATGATGTTTATAAGTTCCTTATTCATATCTGTTGAATATTCCTTACTGTGAAACTCTTTTTCATTGTAAACCTCATCAGACAAGAAAGAAGAACTGCTAGACAGTGATATCTGGCCATGATGGCCAACTGCATCAATAGAGCTGGGATCTCTGGAATTCGTAAAACTCTTATTAAGCTCTGTTGGGCCGCCCTTAATGGGAAGAGGAATTCCAGATGATTTCCAAGAGGTCAAATGTGAGAGAGTTTCACGACATTGATTTACTGACTGTGCATCTGTATCCATATTCCGAGGGAAACCTGAGTTTTCCACTTTCGTTCGTTTGAAAGATGTACTTTCCCAACAAGAACTCATGCCACTAAAATCTCGAGCTCGTACAAGACCAGTCTTTGATTTCCCAGATCCTGCGTTGATTCGGCCAGAATGATTCAGAACTCCAGTGTCCCGGACAGGCTTGCAAACAATACAACTACAGTCGCAACAGCTTTCAAAATGTGATATGAGCAACTGATACTGCTCACAGTTGCATATTGCACCACTGCAAACTAGTGAATGCCAAGAGGTCAGAAAAGGTGCTTGCTCTCTCCCAAATTTTATTGTCAGAGTGTTATACTTGATATACAACTCTAGAAATTGTTGTGAAGAAATATGGCCTAAATCCATGACTTGATGGGGAACTGTGTCTGGCTTCTCTAGGCTGATTGCAGTCAATGACTTTTGGCCAGATACATTATTGTGACATACTTTTTCATTTGCCATGAACCCTTGACACATCAAATCAGATGCCCCATTGAATAGCTCAAAATGAGAATACTGGTCAGAATGTTTGGAGCCACCCATTTGAAGTTGTGGATTGACAAAATATTCATTATTCAATCTGGGGTTAACAGCAGCCATATCAGACATAAACAATGGCGAATAAAAATGCTTCAAATCCTCTTCCGGGGTTGGAATACTGACATGAGAATCTGATGATCCCAAATTGTGCCTAATCAGAGGTGGAACATCCACACTACAGATGTTGTGTGTATTATCCTGAGGCTTGCTGCAACCTTCCTGCGCTGATTCAATAGCATATGGTAGACTGTTCTCAGAGAAGGTATGCCCACCGTCAATATTCCAATCTCCATCAGAACATACTGTCACAGATGAGATTGGTTCTGGAGAAGGAATGATCTCATTGGACATGTGATTTACAGAAACATGTGGAAACATTGTATTCCCATTGCAATGGGTAGACGTAAAGCCACTCTTCCGGCCATTCAATGAAGACCCTGCATCAAAATAAAGTAACAGCATATATATAGATTGACCACCAGTTAATAACCTATTATCATTGCTAGTATGTCATCAATGTAAAGTTCTGATTTAAGAGAAAACAAGTCACCTTCTATGTCATACACTTTGTCGATCATGCATGGTTGATGCAAGCCAGAACTCAGATCAGCAGCTCTCAAGCAGTCAAGGTTAAAATAATCTATATTCTCTTTGAATGTGTCTCCCATGCACAAGCCCATGGGTGTTGTTTTGCAGTCAGGAGTAAAGGTGGTATCAGGATGAAAGTTAAAATCTTCACCACTTCGATGTAGATAGTTAAAGCCTTGATGGACTTGATTCTGCATGTACATGATAACATGCCAAATTAATGAAAATAAAAACAATTTTTTAAAAAGAAGTCATGTTGAATCCCATTAGATCTTTGCTAATTAATGGGTGGAAATTATCATTTTAGGTGGGACCCTATTTAGTTTTCCCATTTCGGATTATGATGTTTGACTCAAGTTATTTTCAATTTAATTTATTTAGAAAACAGTATACTCCATATATATTTATATCTAAATTAAATATATTTAAAAGCTACAACAAAAGTGCTACAAAACAAGAGGTGACATGCATATACTATTTTGTCAAATGATCAATGAAAATACATAAAGAAAGAAGATATAGTTTGACTGTGAATAGTAAATAGAAAGATTAATAAGGGGCAGAGGTTAATATTTTATTACTATTTTTATTTGTGATTATAATGATTAGTAGTAGTAGTATTATTATTATTATGTTGTTTTTGTTTTATTTAGCTGGATATCTTTCGAAAACAATCCCTACTCTTTGCAAGTAGTGGTAAGTGTGTACATCTTACCCTCCCCAGACCCCCCATGTAGGAATACAATGGGTTTGTTGTTGCTAATTCGGATGATAATGTCTCATGAACGAGTGAATGGCTAGCTCAGCCACTATGTGTATTTTGTCATATCCAACACTATACAACCCATAAAATATCGCCATACATGAAATATGCAATAAAAAAGGGAATTGGTGAGATAATAAATCATAGTAACAAAAAAATAAAGGGAACAAGAAACAAACCCTCATATCAGCATTTGCTATCAACTGGCCATCTATGCCAGGCACAGAGTTAACTAGGTGTTTGCCTCTGCCGTGAATTCCTTTGCACATATAGCTGCAAGTAAAAAACTCAATTAATCTCCAAAAGGGTAAAAGGTAAGCAATATGGAATTAATGGTAGCTATAGGCTTGAAAATCAGCACCCTGACAACATCATAAACACAGAACATAAATTTTACAACTATGAAACCTTTTGCCTCTCGATTTATTTGCAGGAAAGACTTGCCAATCGTGTTGGTTATCACAATATTGCATCCCTGAACCAGCATTACAGAGTATATGCGAGCTTGAAACCGTTCCAGTGGACTGGTTTGCTACATTGTCGGGAAGTTGTGGATAGCAGTATCTGCTACTATCCATTTTGCCATCTATCCACTTCTACAAAACCTTTAGACAATAGAAAAAATGAGAACCATAGTTTATTGTATTTACACTCAAAATTACAGCAAAATTGATGGAGGTTAGTCAAATTCATAAGCACAAAATTTTTATAAAATATGAGAAATTCAGAATTATTGACTCCTAACAAAAAAGTAATCACCAAGAACCAATGCACATTCTTTAATCAGTAGGCATAAATTAGTTGGTAAAGATAAGTAATTGAGGATTAGAACACATTAAAATACCAGAAGAGTATTAAAAAAAGATACTATAAATTTAACGGCAGCAAGGAATGTGATTCCCAAATTAATCCAAACAACCCAATGGATTCAAATTACAAACTATAACCGATGCCCAGTCGAAATTGTGATCAGATATCAACTAATTAATTAATATAAAAATTTCTTAGCTTTGATGCTTTGCTATAAATGAATCACCAATGCCAAGACTAAATAAGAGGATGAGATGCAGATAGAATGAACATGTACCAAATTAAAGAAAAGAAGCATGAGTTCCACAACCAAACAAATCCTAAGTTCCTAACAAATCAAAATATTTGAGACATAGATGAACAAAGGATTGGAGAATTACTATTTACAATACGGAGTAATATTATTCAATAATACTTGTAACAAATAGGATAATGTTCTGTACACAAAAATGTAAAAGTAATATTTTTTCAATAAAAAGTTTTAAACTATCTTACCTCATATATATGCAACAGGTTATCCTAAATATATCTATGCGGTAGGATATTTGATATTTTAAAACTTTTTTTTGAAAAACCATATTTTTAATTTTTTGTGTACTACACATTATCTTATTTATCACAAATATTATTGCAGAATATTACTCCGTAATATAAATAGTAATTCTCTCATCCTTTTTTTAACAATGTCAGAAACATTTTAATTTTTATTAGGATTTGATCCGAATGTGGAACATATGCTACTTTTCTTTAGTTTGGTATGTGTTCATTTTATCGGCATATCATCCTTTTATTTAATCTTGACGCTAGTGATTCTTTTTATAGGAAAGCGTCAAAATTTGAGAAGCTTTAATACTACTTAATATCTTAAAGATTCTAAAATTAAGAGACCAGTCACACTCCAACAGCCAAATAACCCTAAGAATGGGACATGATCAATTGGGAAAAAAAATAAAACTTGGTCTTAAGGAAAAAAAGTACAATGCATTGTTGTTGTTGCATTGTGGATTGGTGATAGTGGAGACTCTGAAATATGTACTTCGCAGTGGTATAATCGCATATCAAGATAAGATGACATTAATATTACTCCCTCTGTCCCAATTTAAAATGCATGTTTTTTTTCTTTTTCATCTGTCCAAAATTACATTCCGTGTTTCCTAGTTTGGTAATATTATGTGCTTAAAGTTATCAAAATACGCCCAAGTTATACACATGATCTGATCAGAGGCATATCAATGTACTATTATACGAATGACAAAATTCAAGTGTGTAATACATCACAAACGATGAAACCAACATTAAAAAAAGCTGAGTATACAATACGAAGTACAAAACAATAAAATCGTTTTGCTTAATTAACAGAAGAAACGGCATTCGAAGAAACAAAAAAAGTCAATGATTCACAACTTATTAAAAAGTCTAGCAGGTGCTTGTAACAAGCAAAACTTGTTTTTTTAAAATCCTAAATTTTAAAAAAAATAAATAAATAAAAACAAATTCAAATATTCAAACCTAAGACTTAACCCCCAAATTGACAAATGCCAAAAATAAATTATCATTGTATAAAATTATCGTTAATCAAACATACTATCAATTTAATCCAAATACAAACGAAACTCACATCCTCATAAAACCCCTCAAAATCTAATTTCAAGAAATATAATACAGGAAATTAGGATTTGGACATACCTGATACCCAAAACCATTAGTGGATAGGCAGCGACTAGACACCGTAGCGGCTGGAAACTGGGACGGCGACGGACTTATGGACGATGGTCGATTTTCGACGGAAGGCTATGGATGATGGATCGAAGCCCGAAGGAAGAACGAAGGAAAATTGGGAGAAGGATAAAAACCTAAAGTCCCATTCGGCAGACGTGTTAGTAAAAATTATAGGGAGTATATAAATTATACAAAGTCTATACTTTAGAATTAAAAACAACACGTATAATTTGCAAAATAATACGGAGTAATGATGATGATGATGATGATGATAATAATTCCTCCGTCCGAAAATATTCTTCTCATTTGTCTTTTCTTGGTCAACAGTTGTAAACTTTGACTATAATATGTGGAAAAATACATTGTATTACGATATAACTTTATTATGAATATATTCATTTTGAAATATAGTTTTCAAATATCAAATTTTTATAAAATATATCCATGTATAAATAAAGATATTAATGGTCAAAGTACAGTCTTGGAGACCATAAAAAGTCAAATGTAAAGAACATTTCCAAACGGAGAGAGTAATAATAATAATAAGTCAAATGGGAAGAACATGCTATTTTAGCACATTTTTCATTTTTTTACAGTTAATGTGACATTGTGGCACTACGATGGCATCAGTGGTATATTGCAATTGCAACTATAATGTCAGACGACAACTAAATTTTGTTGGGTGTAATTGGAGGGTGGGGGGTCGATTCGTTTTATTTGTTCAACTCAATTTGGTTTTATTTGTTGAATTAATATATAAATATGATATTCTCCTTAGCTTGAGTGGTAAGAATTCCACTCATCAAGATCTATGAAGAGACATTAGCCAATCTGTGTCATTATCTAAAGTTAAGTGTAATTTTCTATTGATATCTTCTACAAAGTAAAAGTTAAACTACTCTGTATTATTATTATTTTAAATATTTCGGAGTATTACGTAGATATGACAAACAATAGCATTTTTTTGTAAATAAGACCTAATTCATGCATGAGAGTAAAACATTGTTAAAAACATTATACTGTCAATACTTAAAAGGGGAAGGTTCAAGTGACATTGGAGGACAATGTCATGGGATGATCCGTGGGCACCCCGGTGCCCCATTTGTAAAATTGACGGTTTCTACCTCTCCTAACCCCCCAGTAACCCTCCCACCCGGCCCCGACCCGAACACATCTGCCCACCCTCTTCAATTGCACCCCACGAGTTGGTTTTAATTTTGGAGTAAAAATTTGTGAAGACAGTATACCCTGAACACCGGTATTACCGCCCAATCACGAAGATAGTTTGCAATAAAAACCAACATTATTGTGCACTCGTGAAGAAAGTGCACTAAATATCGACATTACTACCTACTCGCAATGACAAATAAATACTCGTAGTATAGAAAAGGGTAAAAATAGATTTGAATATATGGAGTGCACTGCACCATAATAGGACCAAACAAGACTTTTTTGTGTAAAAATATTTTAAAAAAACCTAGTGTTAATGTGTCGTGTTTTAATCTCATTTGAGATAATTTTCTCCAAACATTATAAATTATCATTTTTTAGAAAAAACTATCTCATTAAAACATTTAAATGGGTACTATTTAAAAAATATCCAAAACACGAACTGAAATTAAAAACATTATTTCCAACTATTTTTCTCTTTCATCTCGCAAACATTTTTTTTCCCTTCAAATATAAAACAGGGAACATTAACAAAGTACCCTAGTCTCCTCCAAGTCTGCCTTAACTAGGGAACTACCCACAAAAGTACAAACACAATTTCCACACACACACACAATCTATGGGAAGTCGCATATACCCATCTAAATTATGTACACATGAAAGAACTTTGACAACAAGAAATGGTAACATACCTATCCATTAGTGAATAGTTAATGCACAAAAAGTTCTTCGTGTCTTCTTCTTCTACCGCCGATGTCTTGAATGGGATCTTTCATAGCTACTGGCTTTTGATCCTGAAGAACCACTGCCCCCATTGCCACCCCTTGGAGTTAGGGCACTAAAACCGGAATCAAAATCTCTGAATCTTTTAGATAGAGAAGGGCTCATGTCAAGGTCACGCCCACAGCCAGGTGGGCCATCATCTTCAAGGCTCCTGTTGATGGTTTCTGGCCTATGGTTGCACCCTTCATGTTCATAGTAATCCCTGGAAAGCTGTCGTTCTAGAAGATGTGATCTATCTGTGATGACTTCTGGTGTGTGGTTAGACTGGTTAGTGTTATAATAGTGCCTACTGCTACTAGAGTTGTTGCTGTATGATGAAGCTCTTGGGGCTCTAAAACTTGGCGAAGGACCTGCAGCTGACCAAATCCAATTATCAGCATCTTTTGGTATCGGTGCGTTTACCCCTGGGAATTCAACACTCATTTTTGTAGGTGGTGGTGGGTCAGGACAACTTGTATGCTGAATTTCTCCTTCCTCAGTTTCTTCCACGGTCTCCTCCTCATCTTCAAATATAGTGATCCCTGAGGGCAGATCTTCCTCACTCTCTGCATTAAGGAGAAAATAACAGCCCTGTGAACAATTTAGCCCATTAACAGTCCCAGTGGGACACTCTCTGGATCAGAACATTGCTGGGTTTTAGAACACATGTTCCAATTTGACCATGTGTAAGCAACCGGCAGAGACATCCCAGGAGGGTGGGGGTTGGGGGGGGGGAGGAAATTGGATATTGCAAGAAAAAGAATTTATAAATGTACCTAGATAGCCTGGTGGATATCCTATTTCCCGCATTCTGTAAAGCCATGGAGGTGGATCAAGCTCCTAAACCCCAAAATAAAATTAAGAGGATGTAAATACTGAATGGGAGGGATGCAACAGAAAGAAAAAAAATAGGTTTTAAACTTGCAGGGTCTCTTAGGAGGGAAATATGTTTTGATATAAGCACTAAACCACAACACCATTGATTTAATTATAATCTCACCCCAAGTCCCAAAAGCCGCCGTGTTTCACAGTCAAGGACACCTGGCCTTAAACCATCATACTTTCCCTTTGGTGAATTTTGATAATAGCGGGTGGGATTACGAGAAGCAGCACCATGATTACGTTTCGCCTTGTGTAGCTTTCGAGCATTATTGACAGCAACATTGTCACGAGGCTTGGGGCACTCCTTCAGTGAGTGGCCATAGGAACCGCAGTTGAAACAACGAGAAGCATCAACTCCCAATCCCCTGCAACCAGAAAAAAAAAATTCAAAATCTTTCATTAAGTAGCTTAAAAGTCGAGTCTTCTGGACTTTTGGGAACTCTACATAAGGCTCAGGATACAAAATGTGCTCAGGCTCAAGGTCGGTTTGAAACTCGGGAAATACTAGGAAAAGAAAATAAAAAGGTTAACATAGAAAATAAAATATAAAAGTGAATTTTAGAGGTAGAATAAATGGTGAGCTAAAACTCAATAAATTTATTTCAAATAATTATTGATACTCATATTATTTATTTGGCTATTATATAAAGGCGACGAAATATAGATATAGGTAAATGTTATCAAGAAATAATCATATTTCAGTTTATTTTGAAATTTACAAGGTAAAACCAAGCATAAGAACATAGCTTTATTTAGCATTTTCCCCTTTTCCCTATCCCTTTCTGGGATTCAGCAATTCCCTTAAGATATCAATCCAAGCATGTTCATAAAATAGGCTGCACAAAAGTCCTTGGAGTGAAATATCTATCTGAAGGCTAACAAACATGGGCATGTAAGTGAGTGACTTGAGAAGATCCAGACACACAAATCAGAGAAAGCAATGAGACAAGACAGGAACGAACATGCGTAGTGCTACAAGTACCAAGACATCAAAGCATTAAAGAACCAAAAGTACATACTTCTCAATGAAAGTAACAAAAACAGAACCTGCATACTCCTTGTGTTCTTAACACCAAGTTAACAACAATCAAAATAGGTCTATCATATCACAACATAATGTAAAGTTACTTGCCCTTCCAATTTGTTTGGACTGTCGGAAGAGGTCAGAGCAAATGTATATGTACGGTCATAGAGAGGTACAGAGCTGGTATCTAATGCTGTATACTCCTCAGATACTTTGTTTTTTGGTTGGTCGTCCATCCAAAAAGGCTAAAAATAAACAGAATAAGTAATAAAGTTAGCTAGCAATGAGTACATATTTAGACTAAGCACTTGAGTAGTTGAGTTAATTCAGTATGTGACTAATCACTGGTGCTGTTATTTATTTAGTTTGTAATGAATCCAATACACGCTTATGTTAATACCATCAATAAGACAAAATTTTATAGTTACTCAGCATACAAAAAGAATCCCATTTTAAGAACCTTTATGTCTTGTTTCAACAAAAAAAAGTTTTTCATGTAATTTGTAAATAAAGTAAGAAATTTTATATGAAAAATTTAAATAGAACAACAAATAATTCTTTTAATGTATGAATGGGATAAAAGATTTATAGCAATTGTACCTTACAAAAAAGATAGTTGCTGCATGGTCAAATAAAACTTTTTGGGGGCGGATAGCCATGCGACTGATTTTTTATATTCTAAAAAATGGATAGTGACAGCTCAAATTGCAAAGAGAAATAGGAACATACCACTGCACACGGCTTCTCCAACCCGACCAGAAGAGCAGGAAAGTATGTTTCCTTGCCAGATTCAATACTTTTTGCTGGATCCTGGGACGCCAAAAAAACATTTAACTTTTAAAGAATGAATTATAATTAACCTATGCTTATCAGTTACCCCCTACTTACGGCAAATTGAAAAGAAGAATGAGCCGCTAAACACAAAACAAACATTGAATAGACAAATACATGGATTTTGGAATATTTTAATTTGTAAGTATCTAATGTTTTGGAAGACTCTATTCATGGGAAATGAATACTAACATGCACACTTGAAATATTGTTAACTGCTAAATATAAAATAAGCTCACTTGTATGGAAGAGCAGTGTTCAGCATGCCATTGTGACCACTTCTGTAATAGTTCCTCAAGCTTCTGTTTACTTTCTCTGAAATAGGATTATTCACTCCTTAGTGCTTGGGCAATGACTAGTTCACAGCCAATAAACTTACAGAAAAGAGTGTAAATGGTAAATGTGACTAATAAAGAGAAGGAAAAGAAGAGAGAAGTTGAGTGTTATTTGTTCAAACCTTGGTAGAGCATTATAGATGACGTGTACAAAAGGTTTATCCTCATCAAGAGTTGTTCGAGGTCTCTTGGCACCAGATAAGCCTAAGGTTTAAACATTTCAACAAGAGGACATTAGGAAAATAAATGTACACCATATATATTGGGCAAACACAGTTTTCAAAAACTAGACTATATATAGTCTTGTAATTTAAAAACGGCTTCTACCCAACAAAAGACTTGTTTTAGCGTATGAAGATATTTTATCATTGAATTGTTTTAATTTTTCTAAAAGGGTACTGGCAGTGTTAATTAAACCAACAAATTAAATAAAAAATATTGTACAAGTAAAGTTGAAAAGGTGTACCTCTTAATCATGACTCTTTTAGAGGTTTATGGAGAAGTACACTAGCACATAACTAATATACGTAGTACAAAGTAAAACAACATATTATCATACCAGTGGGACAAATCTTCGATCTCCTGGCAGGATTTTCATCTTCCAAGTGGCCAGAAATATTGCATTCATCTCCAACAGCCATGGAGCCATTGTCTGTACATATCTTAGAGTTTATGAAAGTCGTATTCTCTGTTACCTCAAGTGTGTCACTAGCTCCTCCAATTCCAACATCTCCTTCAATTCCAACAACCTCATTGTTCGCAATGTCTCCAACCACCACGGATTCTCTTATGGGAGAGAGCATATTACTTTGCTCAATATCTTCAGATTCAAACTCAGAACCACTGCAAGCAGGTAAGTTGATGAAATCCTCGCCTTCCATGCCCGAGAACACTCTTCTGGCCATAGAAATCAGAGAAGAAAATGAATCTGAAAGGTTTACCGCTGCAACTGCTACTACTACTACAGATAAAACTTTACGGTACAATTGCATATAAAACTTTAGCATGCAAAATGTACACTAATGTGGGAGACATAATACATCAAATATTAAGGGTGCAGTTAGACTGATAATGACCCAGAAGTCAAGATTTGATAAACTACTAATTTCTCGTTGAATTCATTCCGGAAAATTAAAAAAAAAACATCAACTTGAGCGAGCAGTAACTCGAAAGAGTTAAGCACGCGAGTCATAGCAGGGATTCATTCCGTCGAGATAGGATTGTCATAAATCTTGAAATTGCTCGAGCAAGATTAGGAGAAAAGTAACTGGGGAAATGGAAATGAACAATGGGAAGAGGAAGAACTCGATTATTTAGGGTTTCGAAGTACCTGAGAGAATGGCGGGATGTGGAGCGGAGCAAGCGGAATCGTTGAAGAAGAGGGGGAGAGATCTTGTTCCGAGATCCCAACAAACCAGATATAGATACAGTTGCGGCGTTGCCTATCAATAATTACAGCAGTAATTAGTGTTTAAAAAAATAATTACAGGAATAATTCTAGGGTACCCCAAAAGTTTTTGGTACTTCAATAGTACACCCCTCCCTAGTGCCCCAACCATATAGGAGTAATATGGGGTATCCCATTTATACACCAAGCTAACACAGACACAAAATATCTGTACACCACAGATATTTTGTGTCTGTATGTGTTGGTGGTGACTTGGTGTACAAATGGGGTACTCATGTTGGTATACCCCTAACTCAATTCAATTTTTATCTCCTCCCCGATTTTTTTTATCGATATTTAAAAATCTATGGTGGAGAGTTTTGTGGTATACAAATGAGATATGGTGCACGTTACATAGTATATATGAAATTTGGATGGGCGGATAGATCTCTCGATAGTGTGATAAAAACATAAGGTATCCGTCAAATAATGTTTATACTTTGTACAAATAGAAATGAAATTTTGTACGAAGTATTTTATTCAAAGGAAAATATATAAATAAATAATGGGGTATTTAATATTATAAATTTTGAAATCTAGTTTGGGACAATGAGTATTTTGGAATAAAAAATTATCAAAAAATGAAAATAAAAATTATGAAATATAATTTGGGACAACGGAGTATTTGACATTATAATTTTTGGAGTGTTTATCTAAAATTAATATTTAAAATCACCAGAAGATGGGTAAGATATAACGCATATCCTCAAAATATGAGGAACATATTTTTATGCTTAAATAAAAATATTGTGCTGTGACAAGTGACAGTGTAAATTAGTATTCCATTGTATTTCCATTATCCCATGTTGGCATTAACAGTACTATTTTTGGAATAAAAATGAAAACTCTATTTTAGTTCTTTTCATACATTTTACTTCTATTCTAGTCATTCTCTCTTAATGCTTAAACAATGTTCATCATCCAAAGAGGTTTGCAATGCTCTTTCAATTACAATTAATAAAATTTATGAATGGATCTTGCTAAATCCACCTTCATTTATGATATGATGTACAACATTGCCTTAGAACCAATAGAAGAATGTTAGACAACATTTTAAAGGCAAATTTGCTCATTGGATTTAAATAAAGTAAATGAAGTGAATTTAGCATCATTCTTTATGATAATAAAAAGGTGCCACTTTCCAGGGCCCTGGCCATGCCAACCCTCTTGCAAAGTTCTCACTGCAACAAGGGGGCGGTATGCGCCCAAGTGAGATCACGGCTGCTACGAAGAGCCTAACTAAAACTATCATAAGTATTACGGAGTATTATTATTGTCTAACATAAAGTAAATAACAAAGGAATGTGACAGTACAAAGTGTAGGAAAATAATTGGAAGAACAAAACAAATGCAGATCTGTTTATAAAATACTCTGTTTATATACTCCAGATCTGATTTTTTATTGTGAACTACATTCAGGAATTCTATGTTCCTGGATTATTTATAGACATCAACCAACACAACTTTTGTACTAATCAATACATCTATTACTAACTAATACAACTTCTAGAAATAACTACCTTTAACCTCCAGAAATAACTACCCCTAACCCTTTTAAAATTTAAATCTAAACTAATAACTTATGACCAGGAATTAAACAATACGATTAAATCTAACAATCACCCCCTAATCGTTGTTTGTTCACACCAATCTTCAATAATGTTGGTTCATCATCATCTTCAATCAAATTTGCAATGTCTTCCTTTTGATCCCATTTTGGACATTCGTTCAAAAAATGTCCTAACTCATTGCACTTGAAACACTTAATGTGACTCTTATCCCGCTGAAGCCGACCGCCATCCTGACGTTTCCCGGACCCCCGACCTCTACCTCGGCCATGTCCAAAGTCTTCTCGGTTTGAGCTCCAGCAACCACAATGCTCACATTTCTGCTCCTGAACCTTCTCTTTTCCATCACCTTTAGTGAATAATAGTTTACCATGTGTATCTCCTTCCTCAGTTGGCTTTCTGATGCGTTCCTCGAATGCTTTCAATCTTCCCACCGCTTCTTGAAATGGCATTGTGTTAATGTCAGCAAACTGTTCAATTGCAGCAACGATTTGTATGAACTTTTCAGGCACAGAACCCAAAAGCTTTCGAACCAATCTTTTGTCTTCAAATGCAGACCCAAGGTTGTTTGCTTGTGTTGCAAGTTGACTAATTTTACCAGCAAAATCATCAAGTGACTCATTGTTCTTCATCTTTAGAGTCTCAAAATCTGATTCAAGTGTCTGTAATCGCGCCGCTTTAACCCTGTCAACACCAACGAAGCGAGTCTTCAAAGCATCCCAAATTTCTTTTGCTTCCGTAAACTGAGCAACTTGTAGTACGATCTCTTCTGGCAAAGCTTGAAACAGAT